CAGTGGTTCATTGATGGGAAGGATGTCTGCTCACTTGGATGGATGTAGTTGGGTGTATCCTCAGGTCTCTGCCTGAAGTTGGGCAGGTGCCTGACACTTGGCTGCAGTGCTTGTCAGCCGGTGGTCGGGAGCCCAACACACACGCAGGCTCTGGGTCCCGTTCATGTACTGGTGCTTGTAAGTAAGCTTTGATCCTCCTAGCACTCCTGGGCGTTAGGTAGTCTCCTTATCATACAGAGGAGGACCCTGAGGCACAGAGAATTTGAGACACTTGCCCAAGGTCACACAGCTCGAAAGTGTCAGGCTGGGGTTCTCTGTATTACTGTACAAACTATAAATAAGTATACTATAAGGCTTACTGCTTTGAAAGTTAGTGCCAAGTGCCAGGTTGATGGGAAAATTCGTTCTCTGGGTGGTTCTGCCCTAAAGGCGACCTGGGTAGAGGGAGCTTTGGGGCACCCACATCACACTGTCATTCTCAGGGGAGAAGTGGTGGACCAGGACGACCTGTACCAGGCCCTGGCCAGTGGTCAGATTGCAGCTGCTGGACTGGACGTGACAACCCCAGAACCACTGCCTACAGACCACCCTCTCCTGACCCTGAAAAACTGCGGTAAGAACTGCGCTTTACCAGCAACACTTCACCCGGCCCCAGTTCCTTCCCACCACGGCTTGTGAAGCCAGCTTGCAGTTCTCCCAACACTCAGGTTAAGCACTGTGCCCCCAGAGACACAAGCCACAGCCGCCAGAGGTGGGAGTCGCAGCTCCAAACGCCCTTTCTCAGGCTAAGTTTTAACAGTCATACGCTTTTCCCTGTCCCCTAGCCCCCGGGGAGGTAGATGCGTCTGGCATCTCAGCCCGTGACACCTTAGTGCAGTGGTTCTCAAACTTTTTTGTTCATCGGTCACCTGCAGGGACTGATCAAACACATGGTGCCGGGCCCCCCCATGCTTCTGCCTCAGGGATGAGGCCTGAGAATGTGCTCCTAATGTCTCCCACGCTGCTGCTGCCCCTTGGCCGGGGAGCACTGTGAGAACCACTTACTTAGCATTACTCTTTAGACTCCTCAGTTACCGTTAACAGTTCTTTATATTACGGTCTCTCTATTCAGCTAGCTGGTGTGGTTTCTGCCTCCAGACTAATATATAACCGAGTGGAAGGGGCCTCAGGTTGTCTGGGCCAGTCCCTGTCCTTTACTTACATTCTGGAAGGGAAAACCAAAGAGAAGGGCCATAGCTGCCTTCCCCACAGTGAATGCTCCCATTATTGGAGCCCTTGGAAGCTCTACCATCCCCGCCCCCGTGCCCGTCTGAGAGGAACATTGGCTGTGATGGCCAGGCTGCTGCCCGGAGCTGGGAGATCTCCCATCCCCCCAAGCCCTGGGCCTTTAGCTCGGTACTGGGTACTGCTTTTGAAAGGTGTGCTTTAGGGACGAGTGACCTCACTTGTTCTGCAGTGGGGCCAGAAGCAGCTGCGCTGTCCAGCCTTTCATGTAGTTATTTCGGGAGATCAGAAGCCCAGGGCATCACCTAGTTTCACCATCTGATATTTGAAGGGCTGCGTCTAGACAGGCTCCAAGACTCCTTCTAGCCCTGACATTCTTGTGTTCAGGATACATAATTCTTGTCACCCTTGCGTCTGGGTTTCGGTAGCCCTGGGGAAATAGAGTGCTTAGTGAGACGAGGGAAGGCAAATCTTTTTATTGGCACATCCTAGCCATGAAAAAAGGGCCCGAGTTAAGGCTTCTGAACCACCCTCCTCATTTCCCTTTCTTCCTCTTCTTTCCAGTGATCCTGCCCCACATTGGCAGTGCCACCCACAGAACCCGAAACACCATGTCCTTGTTGGCAGCTAACAACTTGCTGGCTGGCCTGAGAGGGGAGCTGATGCCCAGTGAACTCAAGCTGTAGCCACACGGGAGACACTGAGGCTAGGAGGCAAACGGCCCCGGGATTCTGTCAGATGCGCCCAGGCTTGATTGGACCCACAGGATGGGAGCCAAAGAAAAAAGTTTGATGTGTACTGATTCTGTGGAGGGAAGACTGGTGCTAATGGATGTGCTCCCACTTTTGTGGTTGGAAGCATCTGAGCCCAAAGTGTGTAATTCTATTAAATAATTCTCTGAGAGACCACCTGGGCGTGTAACTGGGAGAAGCTGAGGACAAGAGCATCTGCTTACATTTTCTAAATCAGGGCCTCTAGTGATGGCAGGTTCTGCTTCCCACCCCCATCCCCACGCATTTTAATTATTAGACCCTGTCCAAACCACCTTACCCCTCATCCTCTGCTAAAATGCCTTCAAGTGTCCCTCACTGAGGACAGGACAACCACAGCCCATTGGTGACCGCGGCAACTGGACCTGCTCCCTAGACCATCGGACAAATTAAACACACATGGCAAAAAGAACTAGGAATGGTCACAATACTCATTTTTTGGTCAAGACTAATCAAGGTAGGTGGGTTTCTTAATTTTTATTTTAAAATTAGTTTCAGCACCTTCATATTTTGTCCCGCGTGTCCATCTCCTCACTCCCCAGGTGAATGCCCTTTTCTAATCACCTCAGTCCTCCTAAGGCCAGGCCACCAGCACTGCCAAAGCCCTGCTCCTGCTGAGGGACCTGGGCTCCAGTTCTTCACCGCAGCTGAGCCAGACTGGAGAGTGGAGTCTTCACCCTGGGAGGCACGTAAGGGAGCGGCAGAAAGCGCAAGATTTGGCAGGCCCACTAGGAGTAAAACTGTGGTGAGAACACATCACCCTTGTCCATAGCTCAGAGACAAAGCTCAGGGAAAGCACGAGGGACTGATGACCAATAATTGTTATTAACCACAGCATGAGAGTATTTTCTAGGAATTTTGGTTTTAAAACAAAGTACTGGTCACAGCAGGGTCAGCAGAGAAAGCAATACTACTTCACTTTTTTATTTCAACCTTAAAAACCTAAAGGCGAAGAAAAGAACACATAATTAGTTAGAGGCATGAATACGACAAATTTTTTATTTCAAAGCCTCAAATTTTGACCAGCATAGCACCACTGACTCAGGTGCCCTGATAGAACCTTATGATTTGGTCACCGGAAGTGATTATGCCAAGCTATAATTAAGGCTAACCAATCAAATCCAGGTACCCAATACCAGTTAAAATTCAGGTAGAAACTACCAATTTGTGGGAACCCTGGGACTGGTTTTCCAGGGAACCTCTGAATTATTTTTTAAGTGCTACAGCATGTACGAGGACCTGGCTCACAGGCTTGCTTCTCACATGTAGGAACTGATTGACTAAGAGGTAGATGAGAGATTCCAGATTCCACTTAGCAGTGGAAGAGGCAGGGCTCCAGCCGGTGTGTCAGAGATAGGCCCCGAAGCAAGTCCACTTAAGCTGGAGCTCAGGTGAGGGGGTGGCTTCCTGGCACCTCCTCCTCAAGGTGGAAGGGGAAGAGGGTTGCCACTGCTCTCCGGGTGCCACCGATTCCTCTTCCCAAGCCAGGCAGGGCCTCTCTTGTTCTCCACGCTGACCCACCTGCCTCCCAGGGTTAATTTCACGAGTTACTGGTCCCCACAGAGGGGTGGATGTGGAGCCTCCTCACATCAAGTCAGAGCATGACTGCTAACAATTCGCCACACACAGCTGAACCTCACAGGTGATCCCACAGCCTCCAGCCGTCTCCCCCACATCTGAAAGGAGAGGAATCAGAGGTTTCCCTTTTGGTTTTCCTCCCTGGGAATCAGTTCATAGGAGATGCTAAGCAATGAACATTGTTAAGTTTATCCACAGACAGATGCGTAACTGCGTACACTAGATTAAGAGGAGAAAACACTCGCGGATTACCTTTCTTTCTAAACAAAGGTAAGAACTGAAGGATTTCACTCAATTATGCACAATGGCTTGTGTCTAAAAAAGCTGTATAAAAAATGAACTCATGTTCATGCATGAATTAAACTGACTTCATGAGCTCTATAGAGACACATTAACCTGTGCTTTTCCCCTGGAAGCTCATGAGCCAGGGCTCAGCCTGACAGCTGCTGCCAAGAGCCCCGATGGCACAGGGTCAGAAGACCACAGGTGGGGCTGGGGAAGAGAAGCAGTGGGGTCCAGGGAGGCCCAGGGCAGTCACCCAGATGTCTCCTCAAACTGTCTCAGATGCTGCTTGGTGACTTCTATGCTCTGGGCTGCCCAACCCACTTATATTTACCCATGAATACTGCTGCATTTGGATTTCAAACATTCAGTATTGGGTTGGGGCAACAACAAAAGTTCAGGGTCTGTACTTTAAAACGATAGTATAGAACAGTAATAAAACCCACGATGGAGGGGGGTTGATTTCACTTTTGGTTAGTTTTTACCTGGAAACAGTAATCTAGGCCCGGGAAAGATGCCATATGTGGCATGAATGTGAAGAATTGAAGCAGACAACGGGTTTGTCGTTGGGTGAGATGTGTCAGGCTGCACCAGCCCCCGAAATCTGCACGGAACAAAGGGTAAATGCGCCATAAAAGATCTCACTAAACAGGACTCCACACCATCAGAACAAAGACAAAACACTAGCTCTTTTCTGACTTCCAAACGTGGAACTGTAACATATGTAATACAAGTTGGTTAAAATACTGCTAAAACAGCACATACAGAAACAATACCTTACTTGTTGCTCCCTATAAGTACATACTCCTTTTACAACTTTGTTTTTAAAACCAGGAAAAATTGTTAAAACATCTATGTAACAAACAGTGATGTTTTCAAAAGTATATATACACCTAATAGTCCAGAGAATGCTCGCTCTGGACCCAGTGTCAGCACCATCAAAGTGCAGTGTCTGTGACTGCAAATCAGACAAAAATAAAAAATACAGTATTTCCTGAAGCCTAGGACTAGCTCATGATAAACTTTAAAGCATTTTTGGCAGACAGGCATGTCCTCAAGGGCCTTCATTTTAGACAGGCACAAAGTTGCCACTGGTTACACATAAGTTTATCTTGCATCACTGTACAGGTATATAATCTCATCAGAAGGTATATAGGAAATTTAATTAAATGCTTCAGAGTTTTACAAAAATTGCTAAAAAAACTTTTTTTGCACTTCAATTTTTAATTGTCAAATGTGCCACTTTTAATGACATCGATTCCAAACTACTTTCTGACTGCATTACTCAACCCTAAGGAAGTACTTGGTTTCAGGGATTGGATCCCTTCTCTGAAAGCATACATTTCACTCAGAAATGTAGCAGTACAAGCACTACACCTATTAATTCTCCACTTATTAGTCATCGAAATTTGCATGAGCCATTTGCAGCCTGAAGCCTCAAACCCAATGGCATTAACCACCAACCAAAAGAGACTAGTTTAGGTCCTGATACTGGCCTCAGCATTATCTCAAGAGGTCGGGTTAGAGCAAAGTGCTGGGAAGGTTGCTGCTCTGCCAGCGCAGGCAAGTGGTCTTCGAGTGTTTGTACAGGTGGCTGGACTGACTGAACCTCTTGCCGCACTTGAGGCAGGCATAGGGTTTTTCACCTGTGTGAACACGGATGTGCTTCTTGCAATCTGTCAAGGTCAGGAAAGTCTTGCAGCAGATTTTGCAGGCATACTTGCGAGCCCCCTCTACGACTAAGACGTTGTGCTCCGATAAGGCCTTCTTGCACTTTGACAGGACGTCAGCAGATGCCCTCGTCAACTGGGGGGGGCCGGGCTGCGAAGGGTGGCCATTTTCAAATGAGGATGTGGCCGCGTTCATCATTAGCTGGGAACTGGCAGAGTTCTCTGGGATCTGTGAGCTCCTGACTGACGTTACCACTGGCATTTTGGGAGCTATGCGGCGGTAGTATGGAAAGTTACTGGCTCCACCTCTAGGGGAGCTCATCATTACCCTGGAGAAGGAGGAATGCAACCCCAAACCAGACCTGGAAAAATCCATCCCAAACTGTTCTCCTCCTTGGTAGCCTGAGGTCTGCACACATGGCAGGCCCATCACTTCCTGCATAGGCCTGACGAAGTGGGCATCTGTGGGCTCGCTGAACGGGTTCTCCATGTGAGAGCCAGGGGCTGAGGAGGGCCCGCCTGCAGGCCCAGCCTCTGGACTCAACAAATAAGGGGCCTCCCCCTCCAGCCTGCAGTCACTAGTGGTGTTTGGGATATTATCGTCATTGTTCTGGTTAGCACTAAAGTTACTTCCTCTGCTCTTGTTAAGAAAATTTGAAATGCTAAAAGTGGATTTATGTTCTAGGTTATTTGTGACTTCCAAAATATGGATGTCTCCTACCCGGTCAGTGCTAGACTGGGGATCTGAAAAACTCCGGTCGCTACTCTCGGGGCTGAGGTCTATCTTCTCGGCACTGACCACCACTCCCTCCACCTCCACCGATTCGCTGCCTTCCGCTTGGGAGGTCACATCGCTCACTTCATCCTGAGGCTCAGGAGAGCTCAGGGGCTCAGATTTAACCACCACTCTCATGTGCTCCTTCTCACCAAGGCCAGCCTCAGGGTTTTCGCACTGAAAACCACTTTTCTCAGGTGTGGCTTCCTGCTCAAAACTAGCCTCGACCTGAGTGGCGCGGGAGGCCATGGAGAGCTGGGTCACGTTGCCAGTGCTGTTGTCGGACTGGCTGGGCACCTGGGCATCTTCTTGAGCACCAAAGGGCCGGTCAAATATGATGGCACTGTCGTCCTGGGTGTCGGTCATCCCGTCAGCTTTAGGGTTATCCACGATCTTCAGAGAATCTGGTGAAAAGAACTCCTCCCGAGAATGAACCCCCGGCCCATTCTCTGGCGTAACGTCGGAGATGGCAGACTCATCCAGGGTGGGTCGGAGCCGCTGTCTGGCCCGCTCCTCTGCAGACTGCTTGCGCTTATGCAGGCGTCTCATGGGGAAGGGTGTCCGCTGCTCCAGGTTACTGCGCATCGAGGAGCTCATGGGGGCCGGCTGCTCCTCACCACTCTGGCTGGAATTGAGGGCTGAGCTCACGATGCTCAGTCCCAGCTGCTGCAGCATAAAGGAGCGCTGCATGCGGGCACTCTGCTCCTGAACGCGCTCGCTGGGGGGAGACATGGGCAGCGTCCTTGTCGTTAGGTAATGTTTACATGCCTTAACAACAGAGTTCAAGTGCAGGTGAGAGGCTGCCAATAAGACATCCATAACATTGCTCTCCCCCAGCATGAGGGTGGAGGTATACATCATGTCAATCAGTGCGGCAAAGGCCTCCGCTGTCACTACCTCGCTATCCAACTGGATCATGTTCATGGTCTGATCTCCCTCTGCCACAGAGAACAGGGCTCGGAAATGTGTACTGCATGCTGCCAGTACCGAGCGGTGGGCTTTGAAATGTCTGTTCCCCACTACAATGACACAATCACAGAGCTGGCCGTGAAGTCTCTGGTAGTTCAGCTGCTGGAAGATCTGTTCAAAGTGGCCAGGAAAATCCATGATCCTATAAAAAAAAGAAAATGTTAAGATGCAGAAGAGCTTAAGTCAAAGGGCACAGAGGGTGTGATGACAAGAGAGGCATGGGGACTTCCCTGGCGGTCCAGTGGTTAAGACTTTGCCTTCCAATGCAGCGGGTGTGGGTTCGATCCCTGGTCGGGGGGCTAAGATCCCACGTGCCTCACATCCAAAAACCAAAACAAAATACAGAAGCAATGTAACAAATTCAATAAACACAAAAAATGGTCCACATCAAAAAAAAAAAATCTTAAAAAAAAGAGGGAGGCATGAATGGCCAAGCTTGGACCTTCCAAAGCTCGTGATGTTTCTGATGGTGGGCACGCAGACTAAACACCTGTTCAATAAGGAGCAAATGCTGATTCGGCTAACAGCCCTGGAAGCCTGCACACACACACAGATCAGCTACTGGCTGTTTACAGCCTCCCCTTCACCCTTACATGACCCACTTTTAACACTTAGGGTCCATGTTAGAAAAGACCAGTGTGTGGGTGATGCAACATCTACCTATACCTGAGAAGTCAGAGTTCTGCACTCCCTGAGGACAATAAATAAACTCCAAGAAATTATAAACAGAATCTTTTAGCAACCTTAAATAAATAAAAAGGGCAAATCAATATTAGTGGGGAAGATTTCCAGTTATAGATGGTAGTAGATTGCACTCATGCATTTACCCTCTCCACCCCTAAAGTTTTTTGGTTTTGTTGTTGTTTTAAAGGTAAAAACCCACAAGGGAAAAAAGAATGGGAAAGAAATATCAATAGCATTTTGGAAGCTGATGAGCAGGTAAACGAATACATGCTGACTAACTTAGTATGCCTAGAAAGCTGAATCATAAACTGGCAGTGGCTAAAACAACCTGACATATATAAGCCCCCACCCACCCAGAGGCTCAGAACTGGCTGCCAAGGTGCCAGGGGAAGTGGAGTGAAGATGATGTCAAGACAAGGGGACTGGCTGGAAGTCTATTTGATAAAAAAAAACAATCTAATGGACGTTCCACACCTGTGGCACAGAAAAGGAAAAGCTATAGAGACAGAGAGTAGATCAGTGGTTTTCTGGGACTGGGGTTGGGCTCGGGGCAGGACTGCAAGTGGGAAGAGGGACTTCTGGGGGCATGATGGAAATGTTCTAAAATTGGGGTATGATGATTACACATCAAATTCTCTAAAAATATTTGAACTGTACACTTAAGGAATTTTATGGTATGTACATAGACCTCAATAAAGCTCAATAAATTAAACTTCAAAAAAAAAAGGAGAAAGAAAAGAGATGAACAAGCTCCAAAACCATCTGCTCAGACTCCATTTTCACCTGTAGGGCTTCTATACAGCCAACCCAACCGACTGCTTAGAACATCACATGTATCTTTGATGATACTACGGAATTACTAGGTTTTTCTCCCCCTTAGGTGTGATAATGGCATTCTGATTTTTTTTTTTCAAAAGAGTAGTTTTTAAAGAGATAACATACAGGTGAAATGACATGATGTCTAGCATTTGCTTCAAAAGCTTATTTTTTGTACATTTGAAATTTTTTATAAATGTTAATATTAAAAAAGGGAATAAAGAAGAGACCGCATGGACTATGGGTGGATCACTTTCCAAAGCTGAGTTTGGAATCATTACATATCTGTATATTTTCATCTCTTGGACTCATCAGAAAGAAGAACTTGCTTGTCCTCTCCTAAGAAACTGCTACACTTCCTAGGAACTACAGGACTGCTGATTCAAAGTCTAACTCCTTGACTAGTACTCATGACACACTCTCATTGTGTGGTTAGAAAATAGGGTCAATAACCCCCGAAGTGGCGCTGCTCAGTGCCTTCTGCCCACAGACTCTGTAGAAGCTGAAGGAGCCACAAAGTTTAAAACCCTGTTTTATCCTCTCCAGCGAAGGAACCTCTGGTCCTCTGGGAGGGGGGGAGGCAGAATCTAATGGTTACACCCCAGGATACAAACACATGCAGAAAGACAGTCGTGCCTGGCATTAGAGATAAAATGATCAACGAGACAGATCCATCTCTGCCCTCAGGAGTGACAGACTAATCAACATTCAAATACAATAAAGTATTGCAAGTGCTGTGGTAGGAAGTACAAGGTGCTACAGGAGACAAAGAAAGGGCGCCTGCCTCTGATGGGTTGGTGGAGGGGGTGTGGAAAGCCTCTTCGGGAAAGAAGCCAGCAGTCCCCTGTTGGGCTCGGGTGGCTGAACTGGAGAAACTGTACTCAGGACACGAGGCTGGGATGAGCTGCTACACCCACAACTGGAGCATAAAGTCCTCACTAGAAGGTAAGACATTCCACCCACCCCATCCACCAATAGAAGACTAGCAGCCCAGGGTTCAAGTACCCAGGGAATCCCTCCAACAGACCACTTGGGTCCCCATCAAACTTCCCTACAGTGAAGCCCACCAGTCCTCAAGGCCCATTCACTCAGCTTCCAATCAGTCAGGTAGAAGCACCACAAACTGGAGGGGAAAAATCCCTAACACTGAAACCGAGTGCGGCCCTATGGGGCTCCCAGGCACAGAGGCTTTTTTGTCCCCCATTTCTTGTAGGCAAAACTCCAGCCTCCATGACCTTCCCTGAGTTCCAAAGGGCAGATTCGAACAGTTGCTCATCAGGGAGGAGCGGGCAAGAAACCACCTGAGGCAAGATTAAAGGGACCGGAGAAGATTAGGAGACCATCTGAGACCCTGCACACATCCTAATCTTGTCAGCAGCCCCATCCTTTTGAAACTCTGCAGAAGAAGAATGCATGACTGTTACTGCCTTCGTCCTTATTGCATACCCCTGACCATGAGCCCCGACTATAAGACCTCTCCCTATTCCCCAGGGAGGGGAGCACAGTTCTTGCGTGCTAGCCTACTGTGTTCCCTCTTCGCCTGGCAAAGAAATAAAACCACTCTTTCTTTCTCCTCCATAACTGTCTCAGTATTTCTATACAGCATCGGTGCACAGACAGCCAAGATTTTGGCAACAACATGAAAGACAGAGCCCTAAACAAACAAACAAAAAGGCACCTGGAAGAAACAGAACTAAGGGCGAAAAACACCTATAATTAACATCCTCAGAGAGCTAAGATATGATATCCATGAAACAAGAAGAGAATGTTTTTAATTTTTTTTGAAAAGAAATATTCCAGAAACAAAAAAATTATTGGAAGTTTAAAACTGCAAAAAAAATTTTAAGTTACTAGAAGGGTTGGAAGATAATATGGCTGAGGAAATGTCACAGACAAGGCAAAGGAGAAATAAAAGTGAATGAACAAGAGAAAAAAAGAATTAACTAATGAAGCCCAAAGTCTGAACACAAAAAGAGAAAAGACAGAAAGTGGGGAGAATGATAAACAACAAAGAATAATTCTCAGAACTGAAGAAGTTACTTATTCACACTAAAAAGGTCCACCAAGTGCTCAGCAATATGAATGAACAAATCCCCACACCTGGCTCATTACAGTGACATTTTAAAACACCTGGGATAAAGATCTGGAAAGTCTGAAGTGGGGGGAGTTAACAAAGAATCAGGAATAAAATGGGCATTAGACTTCTCAAAAGCAATACTGGAAGGTAAAAGGTTCTTTAAAATTCTCCGAGAAAATTACTTCCAACTTAGACCATACCCAGCCAAACATCAATTATGAGGGGAGACTACGGCATTTTCCAGACAAGCAAGAACCCAAAAGTCTACCTCCCACACATCCCTTCTCAGGAAGCTATTAAACCTGTGCTTCAGGAAGCTGGGAATAAACCAAGAAAAGGAAGATGAAGAATATAGGAATTGCAGACCCATCCTAGAAAACAGGCAAAGAGAATTTGAAAGATGATGCTGAAGCCCAAAATGAGAGCTAGGCAGCAGGACTGGGGAGCAGACTGGAGCAGGAAGATGAGGGACTCCAAGGAGTTCCCCAAGGGAAAAAAGGAATGGAGAGATCACATGACATAGTTGAGAGCGCTAAGAAGTTAACAGTTCCATGAAAATGTGAAGATAGGTCATAAAAAAACAAGAAGAATTTTATTTTATTTTATTTTTTTGCGGTGCGTGGGCCTCTGTTTTGGCCTCTCCCGTTGCGGTGCACAGGCTCTGGACGCGCAGGCTCAGCGGCCATGGCTCACGGGCCTAGCCGCTCTGCGGCATGTGGGATCTTCCTGGACCGGGGCACGAACCCATGTCCCCTGCATCGGCAGGCAGACTCTCAACCACTGCGCCACCAGGGAAGCCCAAGAAGAATTTTAAATGGGACAGTTATTAACTCCAGGAAGAATATATGGTTGTTTAGTTGCCGTACCCTATGTGTTTTGTTTACAGAGTCATAATAATGTGAACACAGAGCCAAATTTGAGATACTGGAAGGGTAAGGGAAGGCCAATACGTGTGTGTGGGGGAGGCAGAGAAGAAGTGGTGTAAGAAAGTTAAATTCTCACCTTCCCTATTAGTCAAGAAATGCTGTCTGAAATACTACCTCAAGAAATAGTAATATAAGAACGCTGTTTGGAAATACAGAAGGCAGTAGCAGACGAAACAACTAAAACAAGTGAAAGTGGCTGCCTGTAAGGAGGGGGAATTTGGAGGGGAAAAACGGGGGACAGAAGACTGCTTTTTTTTTTTTAGCTCTAAACCTAATGGAACTATGTGGCTTCTAAAATATAAATACATACATATATTAACTTTTATAAAATGATTTTTTGGGGGTTTTTTTTGTTTATTTTTTTTGCCACACCACATGGCTTGTGGGATCTTAGTTCCCTGACCAGGGATTCAACCCACGCCCTCAGCAGTAAAAGCACAAAGTCCTAACCACTGGACCACCAGGGAATTCCCAATATTAAATGAAATTTTAAAATACATGGTAGGGCTTCCCTGGTGGCGCAGTGGTTGAGAGTCCGCCTGCCAATGCAGGGGACATGGGTTCGTGCCCCGGTCCGGGAAGATCCCACATGTCACGGAGCAGCTGGGCCCGTAAGCCATGGCCGCTAAGCCTGTGCGT